GGCCCCGACCCCGCCAGCGGCACCCACCCCAGGAAGCCCTCGCTGGCGCCGACGCTGTCCGGCCCCACCAGCTCCGCGCCGCAGAGCCCTATGAGCATCTGGGGGCCGTACAGGAAGAATCCAATCATGAACACGTTGAACCACTGCAGCGCCGAGGCCGCGGCGGGGACGGCCTGGAAGGACAGCAGCGCTAGGGCAATGCCCACGGTGTAGGCCATCACCACCTGGGGGTTGGTTGAGTTTGTTTAAAGGGGGGGAGGGTGGAGCAGGGGCAAGGAGGATGCAGGGAGCGTTCAGCGGGTGCATGTTGTGATATGGTGTGCTTTCCAAACATATACGCGCTGCAGGTGCGCATGCGCCACGCTAAACAAGCACGAGCGAGCCTGATAGAGGCATGTTCCGGGAAGCGACCCTGCCTCGCCCCGCGTCGCCGCCAAGCACCTGCACGCGCTTGCCGACGTTGCCGCCCTTGCCGCCGCTCCTGCTGATCAGCAGGTCGCTGATGCGCCCGGCCAGCAGGCTGCCAAACAGGCCGCCCAGCTCCAGGCCGCTGACGCGCACCGCGGCCTGCGGACGATGAGAGGGCCGGCATGTTTCTCAAGCTCCAAAGCCCGTGAACCCCAAAGTGCCGCAAACTCCGTTATTTGGCTGCAAATGCATCGCCCATCCTGTCACATCACCAGTAGGCGGGTGGTCAATTCGGTCGAACTTCAGGCCTGAATCGACATGCTTTGGCGCTGGCTCACGTCTGCGGCGTCGGCCACGCCCTTCTCCTTTATGAGGTAGAACACAAACCATGACGTCACCCCCTGGCGCACGATGTAGATGAAGAAGTAGGTCAGGGCCTGGGGGGGGGCAGGGCAGGGTGGGGGCAGCGGCAGGGGTCAGGGCATGAAGGGGTGGCAGTCAGCTTTTCAGGTGAAGTACTGGAGTGGGGTGGTTGGCATGTTTGGGTATGGGACGTGTGCCCTTGCCACCGATGTGCCTGCACAACACGCGTGTCTGCAGGTCCGCGCCCGCACGCACCTACAACCCGTCCCCAAAACGCACCCGTGCCCTCGCGGCCCCACCCCCACCCACCATGCCCCAGATGAAGGGGTTCTTGAGCACTGTGTTGACCAGCTGCTTGAGAACGTCGGGCTTCTTCTTGGGGGCGCCGGCTGCAGTGGGCTTGGCCGCCACAGGCTCGACGGGCGGAAAGCCGATGTCCTCGGGCTTGTCCTTGCTGGGGGGGGGGGGTCGTGGTTGGTGGGGTGAGGCAGAAACCGGTGCGGATGAGGGGGTGGTGCGGGGACTGGGGGAGGCACGAGGTGGCCAGTGCTAGCGACCGAAGCTGCCGTCTTTTGGGCTGGCCGAGGCTGAAAAGCACAGCCGGAAACTGCTGTGTTGCACAGGAGCCCCTCAGGCCAGCTGATGTGCGCTACCAGCCACGCAGCTGCGTGCAACAGCCACACGCGCAGCAGCGCCACGAGCACCGCTATGGAGAACCCGGCCGCACCCCCACCGCTCAAATGGCAGCACGCGACCAGGCAGCGCTGCGCCCTGCAAGCCTGGCAGTGGCGCGACCTTTGCCCCGGAACACACACACACACACACACACACACACACACACGCACACACACACACACATACGCACAAACAATCAGGCCCCCTCACCAGGCGAAGAGCACAAAGGTGCCGACCACCAGCCCGATGATGCCGGGCGCCCACATGCCCCACTTCCAGCCGAGGGCCTTGGCGAAGCCGCCCGCCACCAGGGGCGCCGCAAAGCCACCCAGGTTGTGGGCGATGTTCCACATTCCCCAGTAGCTGTGGCAGGGGCCGGGGGCGGGGTTGCGGCAGGGAGTGCGTGGGTTTGCGACGACGGGCAGCAGCAGAGGGAACTCGATGCACCCGCCAGCTGCTGCTGCTATTGCTGCTGTTGGTGCTTCAATTCAACAATGCCTCTGCTTGGTCTGGCTGCGTGGTCCCTGGAGAGACCACGCGCACGCACCCAGACGCAAGCACAAACCGTTGCAATGCCACCCCCAGCGCTCGACCCCCTCCCGCCCGCGCCCCAGGAAAACGAGCCCCACAGGCGCGGGCGCGCGCACTTCTCGCACTCACGTGCCGCGCTCCTTTGACGCGAACCACGTCGTGAGGATGCGCGCGCAGCACGGCCCCCCCACGCCCTGCAGCGTGCCGTTGAGCGCCCAGAAGAAGCAGAACCATGCCAGGCTCGTCCCAAACCCGAACGCGATGTTGATGAGCGCCGTCGCCATCAGGCCGCCGGCGAGCAGCACGCTGGGGCTGAAGCGGGCGCCGAGGACGCCTGATACAAACTTGGACATGCCGTACGCGATGGGGAAGATGGACGTCATGGCCCCGATCTGGGTGATGTCCATTCCGAGCTTTGGGTCCGCCACCATCATGGGGGCGGTGTAGGTGAGGCTGTTGCGCGTCAGGTAATAGCAGGAGTACCTGGCGGGGCGCGGCGCGCGGGCGGGGGGACGCGGCGGGGGGTTGGGGTCAGGGTGGGGGGCGGCTGCGGGCGTGCGGCTGCAAACGGAGACGCTGGCTCTCCCGCCTGACCCGTCGGCGCTGCGGTCAGGGTGGGGGGCGGCTGCGGGCGTGCGGCTGCAAACGGAGACGCTGGCTCTCCCGCCTGACCCGTCGGCGCTGCGGGATCAAAGTCAGTGGTGGCAAGTCCGTCGCAGCCGCCATCCAGCCGCTAACAAGGTGCGGGAGGGGGCCTTGTGGCGCCAGGGGGGGGGAGCGAGCGCCCACTTGCAGGCCCGCAGCGCCGGCCCGCCGGCTGCCGCGTGCGCTCACCCCAGCACGATGCAGAAGAAGACAACCAGTCGCCTCACTGTGAACTCCCGGGGGTACTCCAACGGCTTGTCGTCGGCGCCGGCCTGCAGGCAGCGGGGGGCAGGCACCGAAGGCGACAGCGCGTTCAGCCCCGAGATTCCAGGGACGTCCCCCGCCCAGGGGCTGGCGAACCCATGCGAGCTCACAACCCTGCCGCTGCGCACGCTCCCCTGGTGGCCCCGGCGATACTAAACCACATGCTGGCTCGCCACATTGGCTCACCGCCACGCTGCCGCCGGCCTCGCACGTGACGAGTCGCGCTGGGCGCGCTTGCTGCTGCTGCTGCTGCTGCTGCTGCTGCCTAGGCAGGGCGGGGGTGTGCTGCTGCGCAGGTGCCGGAACCGAAATTGCCGCCGGCCTGCGGCAGGTGTTGATTAACACGTATTAGCACCCCCGCTCTTTACTAGTGATGTCGGCTTGATGGACATGCACACATAGCATAAAGCAGGCTCCAGCTTGGCTGGCGATCGTCACCACGCCGGCGCACCCGAGGGGGGGCCCAGGGGCGACCCCCGTCGCACCTGCTTGCGCCCGATCCATGCAGCGCCCCAGGTACCACCCGCCTCGTAGATTGAAGCTTAGGTGCAAGGGCTCTGCTCCTTGCTACCTGCCTCCCAGGGGTGCTGGCGAGCGCCTGCATCCTGACTAGTGCGGATCTGTGAGTCTCACAGATCGGGCCACACCGTCCGTTTGTCGGAGAATATGATAGCTGAACTGCCGGAAGTTTCCAGACGACTGCTGGGGCAGCAGTTCAGGCTGGGCAAGCTGGCCAACGAACGAGAGTGCAGTGCCAAGGTGGCAGGGCCCGATCGGCCAATGTGCCCTCTTCAGAGCCCTCCTGATATGTATCACTACGTGATGATGTGTCCGGCAGCCTCGGGTTATCGAGTACGGAACTCTCCTGCTGCCGGTCAGCTGGATCACGCGTTCACGCTCTGGCTGTGTTCGCGGCGCCGTCGATCGAGTTTAAGGCGTGCAAACAATGAATCGCCGGGATGCACCAAGAATATCTGCACACATGGTGCACCAGCGGCAGTCCGAGCGACGCGCAGCTCACGGGCGCTGGCGCCGGCACTCGACAAAGCCACGCCTCGTCATCGCAGTGTCGCGATGGCATGTGGCAGCCGGGTGTGGCACCATGGGCCTCGCACTACACCGGGGACAAGGAGTCCTTTCAAGAACTGTGCTGTAGGGTGCCAGGTGCTGTCCAGCCTGCCAGTACCCTGGCCTGCCCCAGTTCGTCCACAGTCGAACGCGTCAGGGTGCTACTCTGTTGGCGACCAGAATACAAAGAGTGGCACAAAACCAAAAAAAAATGCGCAACCGCACCATGCGTAAGCCACCACACCTCATCCTGCGGCCTCCTCTCCGCCGCCCGCAGCCACTTCGCCCTCCGCGGCTCCCCCCGCCGGCTCGCCCGCGGCATCCTTCACCGCCGCGGGCTCCTCCCCTGCCGCGGCCTCCGCCCCTTCCTGCTCCTGCTGCTGCTGCTGCTCCGGCTTCTGCGGCTGCTGCTCCTGCTGCTTGCCGGCCCCATCCTTCCCTGCGTCCCCCTCCTCATCCGGCTCCGCCGCCACCCGCACGTTGTACTTGCAGAGCGCCTTGTACCGCGGCGCCACCGCCACCGCGCACACGTTGCGGACCAGCTGCACCAGAATGGTCGCGTCGGGCTTTCCGAGGTTCACCTTGTGGGGCGGCGGCACCGCCTTGGCGAACGCGTCCACCACCTGCATGTGGTCGAGGCCGCTGCAGGCGCGACGCTCCATGTCCACCGCAAACGTCGTGGCCGCGACGCGCTCGCCTGCCCGGGGG